AAGGCTGTGGTAAAGGCTTTAAGACAAACCAACAGTTAGAACGGCATTCATTTACACACAAAACAATTAAATCATTTAAATGTGATTATAATGGCTGTGAATATCGTGGCGTTAGTCAAAAGTTATTAACACAACACGTGAAGACACACTCGACAACTGAGATGTCATTTAAATGTGATTTCATTGGTTGCGAGAAGACATTTAAGACAAAAAGTGGTCGACATTATCACCGCAAGACTCACGAGAGTGAACCGACGTATAAGTGCGGGACCGGCGGCTGTAACGAGACGTTTCATAGCACACACATGCGGTACAGACATCAGGTGGCCGTTCATAACCGTCAGCTGTTTAAATCACGTCAGGGACCGCCAAAGCGGCGCCGCTGCCAATGGCCGGGATGTGATTACTTCGGCCGATGTCTGTCAAGACACACACGGCTCCACACCGACGAGCGCCGACACCCGTGTGTTTGGCCCGATTGTGGCAAACGGTTTAGATCTAGCGATCGACTCAAAGAGCACATGAATATCCATAATAACGTTAAGCCGTTTGGATGCGATTGGCCCGGATGTACATACAGTGCCGCTAATGGTAGTAATGTTATTAAGCATAGAAAACAAGTCCATAAAATGTAATATAATTGTAATTAACATTTTATTATTGATTTAATAAAACAATATTTAATAGTCATTTGGTTTCTGTTTCCTAAGAGTATTTACTATGAGTTTATGGCTTAAGAATTAGGGGACAGAAGTATAAAGTGATGGTTAGTGTTGGGAGTGAAGGCTAGACATGGATTTAATCAATATTTTTTGTGTAATTATACTTAGTTTTAATTTAATCTGTGATTTGTTTGAACACATTGTATGCAATTCTCACTCGTGTTTCGCAAAAACATTATTTTTATTCACGTTATTATTGATTGAAATTCTCTTCACTTCTCATATGTTTTCACTTTTTGTTTACATTTTTGTCATTCAATTGTTGTTTAGTTTTGGACTTAATTTGTATTCAAATTAATTGTGAATTAGTTTTAAATCTGACTTTGAATTCAATTATGGATTCAATGATTAATATTAACGATATTTTGGATGAATTATTGTCTGAAAACAATAGACTTTTACATGAAATCCAATGTTTAGATGAAATGAAAACACATTTATTTAAAATTCACTCAAAATATGAAACACTTATCGATTCAGAAGACAATCAACACTTCCGGACATTATCTCAACGATTGGATCAATTGAATGAGCAGAAGAGCACACGAGTTAACGACAATTATATTACCATTGAATCTGATTCGCGACTTAAGAGTCCATCGAAACTACAATTGAAGCGAAGAAGAAAACCTCGAAAACAAGAAGTGATACAAACTTTCAATGACAAGAATACCACTCGTGATGAACAAATCAGTGGATCAGATGTACGGCCAAAGAGTTCATCAATTGATAAACAATTGAAAAGCGAAGAAGAAAACCTCGAAAACAAGAAGTGATACAAACTTTCAATGACAAGAATACCACTCGTGATGAACAAATCAGTGGATCAGATGTACGGCCAAAGAGTTCATCAATTGATAAACAATTGAAGTCAAGTAGAGATGAGATGAAAGGTGTGAACGAAAGCATGAATGAAGACATGAGTGAAGACAGCAATGGTTTGAATTTGTGGTCAATTATCAACGGAGCGAAAGATAGTTTTCAGGAACCGATT